TTCCTAATGTACTCAACAAATCACCTATGTGGAGCCCTTTTCCGGGTCCATTGAAATGAGTGTAAAAATATATAAATCCTCTAATGAGATAACGATGATGAACTCAAGTCTAAAGACCAATTGTACCCTTCTCATATGAGATTCCCATAGACTAAACCAAATGGGTTCTTATGGTGAGTCAAGTCTAGTGATATATTCTTTAATATAAATCAACTGAAGTGCTTACTTTGGCATCATTATGCTAATAGACGTGTGATCTCCTACAACTATCATATACCATGAGTATAATACTCATAAGTCTAATCGTATATAGTCAATATCCATTCTTAATCACGCTACGACTTGGGACATTTAATTATATCATTTATATGTATTAGTGTTTGTCTCATATTTTTCGATCAATCACTAATGCAAATGAATATTGTATGGACTTCTATCTAATTCGATCAATGAATAAATGTAAATGATAAAAATTGATAGAAAAACATCTTTTATTATAAATAGTATAATAATATAATAAGTCAAACCCATATGAGTATGTTGCCACATTTATCAATATTTTTGAATCTCGATACTATGAATGCTTAATAGGCTATCAATCATCTCAATTTGATGACCTTATTGAAATGGATGAAAAGGTTGGACATGTATATATTTAAAGAAGATCAAATATGTAGCTACTAAATCTTCTAAATTGTGAGATGATGTCGTTGCATATGCTTTTAACACTATCCATTATCATATCCCCAAGTTGAGTATAGCGTTATTTCTTACTCTAAACAAAAGTTTCATAAAAAATTGAGATATCTCTCTCATTCAACAAATTTCATGAGTGCTTCCAACTACTAATATGATTAACCGAGTTATCCGAAATTGGTAAATATTTATTTTTCATTGCCTATTGTAGTTGATGATGGTTGTCTTTAGCCATTACAAGGTTGTTTGATAATGTTGATTCTAATCAAGCCAAGTGAGCTATCCTTTCCCGAGTGGTGTTACAAAAATGAGAAATGAGAATTTTGTATATAGATTATTGAGCACGTCATTGAAAGCTCCTTAGCATCCGAGAGTAGAATCCATACTTTGATCAAGAATGATTGGTTGTAGCTCATAAAGAAGGGTGAAGCCTATTACATCAATATGGATCTTATGACGTGTTTAGTAACTAATAGTGTGAACAATGTCGGTGTTACCACCGAGAAACTATATGATGATTGTCTTTTCAAAAAAGAGAACTAATAAATAAAAAGAGCTTGGAAAGAGATTGATCATGATGACACATATAGAAAAGCTCATTAAGCTCATTGAAGAAGACATATGCCTTGACTTTATGAATAAAGTCTTTTAACTTTTATTGAATTTTTGAACTCTATTTTCAAAAGGTGTTATGGATTTCGTGGATCGAGTCATTTTTTTGAACGAAAGAAGAAAATTTTGATCTCCTTACATAGTTTTGTTATTGATTTGAAAAAAAAAGATGATTATTTGAAAGTATCTTTTGTCATTTTATATCATCTAAATTAGGAATAAAATGACAAATCCATTCAATATATTTTAAAATTGATCAATTTGTAAAATATATCATGTAAATGCTATGGTGCAATCCCTTTTTATGAAACTAAAAACACATTTTTCCATTCCCAATAGACCTTTTAGAGGATAATTTTGCATAAGGAATGCATTGATACCCAACATGGAAAATTAAATGATTTGACATCTTAAATGATGATAAGTGATACGCATTTGGGTCATGATCCCATCCCCGAACACTACTTTTTTCTAAATTAATCATGATTTTTAAATAAGACTAGATCTTATAAGCCTAAACAAATCAGATTTGAGATGACGAAATATCATTTTTTGTATATCCTTTCACCAATAAATTTTATCCTTTGTCATCCGACTTTGAGCCTTCAAAATTTATTTCAACGATAACCTAGACTAGAATTATCCTTGCACTAGAGGTAATTTTAAAAGTTTATGAACAATCAATGATGTTCTTTTAGAAAAAAAGGATGAAAAGAGAAAAGATGATGATTCATGAAAACTTATCGAAGGAACCTAAGAATGACTATAAAAAGGGGAATGAAAGAAAAAAGATAACATTAAGTTAGGAAAAAAAAGTATTGTTAAAATGATTATCTATCATTGATTAGAAGTTAAGAAAGGGTTTCAAAATGCAAAAGATGATAAGAGTGAACTTGAAAGCAAAGTTGAGATTAGCAAAACGAGATCAATCATCAAAATGATAAAGTCAAGGTGGCATGTCTAAAGAGATTTTAATGAACAATTAAGTGATCCCGAGTCCGTATATCTCAAAAACTTTTTGAGCCTATTATATCTTTGATTCATAAATCAAAGCATTAGCCTACGTTACATGTCTTTAAAAACCATTTCGATTAAAGTTATTGGTTTTTATTATATGAAATTCAAGTGAAGTCGTGAGCTTTCGGTTCACACACTCATATGTGGATTTTTATTTCATGTTTTTAATCAAAGTTGTGAGCTTTCATTTTATGCAATTAAGTGAAGTTGTGGGCTTTCATTTCATGCATTCATACATGGGTTTTTATTTTACATTTTTAATCAATGTCATGGGTTTATTTTATGTGATTTAAGGACAATTGTAGCTTTCATTTCACGTATTTATACATGGGTTTTTATTTAACATTCTAATCCAAATCATGGGTTTTCATTTCACATAATTTAAGTGAAGTACATGGCTTTCATTTCACTCATTCATAAAGGAGTTTTTATTTTATTTTTTTAATCAAAGTCATGATTTTTCAGTTCAAGTAATTCAAATGAAGTTGTGGGCTTTCATTTCATTTATTCATGTGTGATTTTTTATTTCACTTTTTAAATCAAAGTTGTGAACTTTAATTTCACACATTTTAAGTGAAGTGGTGGGCTTTTATTTCATGCATTCATATGTGAGTTTTTATTTCACGTTTTTAACCAAATTCACGGGTCTTCATTCTATGCATTTTAAGTGACATCGTGGGCTTTTATTTTATGCATGTGTGGATTTTTATTTCATGTATTTTAAGAAAATATATTAATTTTCCTTTCATGTATTTTGATTAAAATTGTAAGTTTTCACTTCACATGCTTTTTATGCGATTTTCATTTCATGCTTTTGTGTGTAAGGGCTTTCAAGCCATTTGAGTATTTGATTGGGTTTTAATCTATTTTTACTCTCTTTTGAATTTTTATACCTATTTACTTCGAGTGAGAATAAGATCTTTAATCGCCTAAGTTTCGAATCACTTGATTCACTGGTTTATGATTCAATGATAAACATATCTATTGTTGGTTCTTTTGTGCTCGCTTCAACCAAAAAGACTTTGTGTAAAAAAAAAAAAAAATACAAACTATTATTGAGAGGCATTCCGCAAGGTAGTCAATCTCCCTATCGTATATGTAGATGAATCAAATTAACTTTGTAAAATAAACGAGTGCTAATTTTAATAATTTTTTTGATGTTTTGTATTATAAGCATATTAAATTAAACTAAGTGTAATATGTCTAAAATCCTTGGTAGGAAATCATGACTCTCCAAGCTAGTTAGGTTGCAAAATTGCAGAGATAATAACTCGATATAAAAGATAATCTAAACTAAGAATCAAATAATTTATGATAACATGTAATTTGAACAACATAACTAAACTAGAAACTATAAAATTAAACGACCACGACACTAAGAAATACAAACTGCAATATGAATAGAAATCAATCCAGAAGGAGGTTAAGTAGAACTCATTGAAAACTTGATGGGCTTTATTCATTTTTTTCAGTTTAATTTATTGGTCAAGATCAAGATAAATTTGGATATAACAATCCCTAAATAGCTATAAACTTTCATTATATTAAAAACCAGTTTAGTAATCACAAACAAAGTAGAGAATTTCTCAAACAAAAAAGAAAAACTATGTCATGCATGTAGCATTAAGTTAATTTACTTGTATTCAATGCTTTGCAAAAGAATTCATCCATTACACATGAAAAATGCATAATAGCAATACAATAGCTACCAGAATAGGAAGAATGAACTGTCTGCTAAATTAAAGAGGTACAAGGTACACCCTTCAAGTAATCACCCCTTGATTGATTGGCCGTGCTGCTACACCCGTCGAAACGGCAGATAAGAAAATGGTAGAAGCTGGAGCAACAAGAACAATTAAGGCCCAGGGACTTACACAGATAATTTGTTTCCCGATAGAAAGTTAAAAGAAGCAGGTACCATTGTGCACACAATAGCTAAGTACTTACACAGCTAAATGCAAGAAATAAAATATATAACTGCATGCACACATTCTTTTTACAGCAGAACTGTGTGCTCACCCTTGCAGTAATCATCTCTCGCTAGAATTGAAGACAATAATATTGAAGATAATGAAAAAGTTAAAAGACTTGTTTTGGAGATTTAATTTATTTTTTGTATTGCTGGTTGTATATATAGCTTATAGAAATACATAATAACTTTAAAACATTTACACCTAACTGCACATAGCTATCTATTAGTTTGTATAAGATACAACAGCCTGAACTACCATTTTAATTTTTACAAACAACCTGGACTCTTTTGAAAGCAGTCTGAGCTTGGTAAAAAGGCAAATCGATCGTTTCTCAATGGTTTTGTCATAACATCTGGAATATGATCTTTTGAAAAAAGAAACTTTACCTCAAGTTGCTTCTTGGTCACCAACTCTAAAAAAATGAAAATCTATTTCAATATGTTTAATCCTTGCATGAAACATGGGATTGACATTATCACATTATACAACTAAACAGGAGGTAGACTGAAACTGAATACCCAACTCTTTCAGCAAAGATTAGAAATTTTTAGTTTTGTTTCTTACTTGACATATATAGGCGGCCGGATTTGTTAAGATGGAAGAAAAAGTAGCAAAAGTGAATGACATATCTTACAGAAGCATAGGCAGAAATTAAAACAACAAATGAAAACCAATGCTTCTATATGCATACATAAATGTTAATCAGGGTATTGCATAGTAGGTCTGAGTAGCGGTTAGTGCCAACCCAAGAGAGGCAGCAAGAACTGTAATAACGGTCCAGGGACTCCTAAAATAAGTTCTCTTCCACTCAGATATCCATCTCATCAGGATGCGCCCACATTGCTTATTAATGTGCCCTTTAATATCATTATAAGCATCAGCATCAGGTTCCAAGGAATGGCACATGTCATTGAAAAGATCTGCAACCTGCTGGTCTGATCCCAGATGATTAAACAGTATGCTCTTAGATCGCAACTCCTCTACATCTCCAGCGTCGTCAATCAACGAATCCATGAAACATATGTATGAAGTGACCCAATGTTGACAAGCAGCACATTTTTCATAGGCCACCAAGTTTAAGAGCATGGATTTGGTTGATGCATCTATGGTAATTGGAGGAAGTTCCAAAGTTCCAGAGAAATAGGATGACTTGAATTTGACATCCGTCAAAGCACTAGTCTTGCTCGGACGAAAACGGATCCCAATCTTCTTAAGATTCTTGGCAGAATAAAACAAGTAATGGCCTCGGCTTCCTTGAGTGAGCTTCAGGGTTCTATTTCCTTGTTGAAAATTCGTGAATTTGGAATACAGAAGTCCAAGAAGATGGGCAGGCTGTCCATCATCTCCTGTGGCTTCCTTTTTCTCTTCGGATGGTGGAGACCGTTTTGAAGGAGATGCTGACCGATCTAAATCCGCTTTAGGTGGTGGTGGTGACTGATCTATATCCTGTAGAAGGTCCTTGAATGCACCCCGACAACAACAACAAATTATGCAACATAAAGGAACTACTAAAGGTACTAACAACAGCACTATGATCGGGGTCATAAGCAGCTGTACTGCAGTCAAGATTATCCAGACCCACTTTGGAATTTGTTCATTTGGTTGGCGAATATACAGAGAGAGAAAATGATTGATGATTTCTTTCCTCTCATCCTCTGTTTCGTACTTCAACTTCAACAATGACTTCAGAAATGAAAGAGGTAGTTGGTTCTCCAATAATAATAAGTCTCGTTTTACATGAACAATTTCCTGATTAGTCATCTCCAACTTCTCATATTTGCGCTTACGACAGCGATCAATGAATTGGAGAATGAAGCAACCATCAGTGATCATCATCTTGCTGAAATCCTCATCACTGAATTTTTCTGTTATTGGCTTCGAGTAAAATCCCCTTGCTTCTAGAGCCGCCTTTTTTACTTCGCGGTAACCTTCTTTTGTCTTTATTTTACTACCTTGTACAAACTGTTGCATCATTCGAAACTTGAGTTTCTCCAACTTTTCAAGTTTATTCTGACGATAAAAATTGTTATAAGGACCAATCGAAATCGCCAAGGGGTGGCAGAATTCCGCGGTTCTTTCTCGAAAAATCTTTTTTGGAACCTTAGGAATCGTCGGCAATAGGGGTTGGTTGTTTTTAGGCTTTGTGATCTCTTCCTCTAGCCAAGAAGGGAGTGAACTTTCATCCTTGTTGGAATTAATGTTTTCTTGCGTTTCTGCTTTTGGAACCTCCAGGACCTTTTCCCCTTGCAGTTGGTTGTTTTCCTTCTCTTCTCCCTCGTTCGCCGTTGGTCTCAAGGGGTCATTCCCACTATCCAAAGCAAGTGAAATCTGGTCGATCTTGAGTTCGCTGTGATGCAACCGGTTGTTCTCATTCTCTTCACCCTCATTCGTCTCTTGTCTCAACGTGTCATCTTTACTACGCGAAGAAAATGAACTGAGGTCGATCTTTATTTCACTTAGATTGGTTTCAGCCATTGCTGTAACATAGGCCGTGATGTGGTGATGGAGGCTCGATCAACTATGATGACAGCTGTTGACCTACAACATTAAAGACATTATGAATTAGAATCAAGAAAACCAAAGGCAATATCATGACTAAAATGCAAAAACCATGGAGTGTTGAACTCGGGACAGACAAATAAAGAAGAGGTTTTGGTTCAAGAGAAAAAACCTTTCAAGCTCTCCCCGAACTCCTTATTCTTCTTGTTGCCATTCAAAATCTGCCTCTTTTACTTTCTTCTTGTACATACAAAATACTTCAGTTGTTCCATGTATTGCCCAGAAGACACTCCTTCACTCACAAAGACGGTGATGGATCAAGTCTTGGAACAATAAAAATTAAAAACCAAAACACACTTTCATTATGGCAAGAATATACAAAAACTATGAACTATTAAAAAATTTCCAATAATGTAAATAATTTAAATTGTACGAATGAAGTATCCCTAATATTCACAAAACTATTTTAAAATCATACTCACATATCCATAATAATATTTTATTATTTATTAATTTTGGATACATTTTTTAAGTATGGGTACGTATCAAGAAGTGCAAGAATTTTGAAGTATCTTCGCTTTATAAAATTATTTATGGGCGCATGCATCCATACTCCTAGAACATAGATAAAAGTTTCTAAGAAAGAAGAAAAGAGCTTCTCGTTACTTACAAACAGAATTGGCATGCATGATCGGTTGGAGATCTCTCTTTTCCCTAGCGAGCTCCAGGCAGAGTGAAAATTGTGCAACTTCTAAACGAAATGGCTATTGAAATAGACGGGGTTAGGATTTTTTTCTATTTTTTATTTTATACTCGAGCAATGATATTCAATTGCTCATACAAAGTCAAATCTAACTATTATTATTTTTTGTTAACTACCATCACTAGGTAGCACCACCCCAATATAAGACACGACTGAAGAGACATTCGAGACATCGTTGTCGTTTTCTTACATTGCTAGAGCTCTTTTATACTAGGAAAATCAGATTAATCACTCTTATCTTCCTTTTCTTTTGTCCCGCTTGGTATTTATTAATTGACAGTTTTCATGGCCGACATTAACTTTTAAAGAAAATGGGCAATGAGGGAAATAGCTACGAAGCAATGGATTCTTTTTCATCTACATGGTTTTTTTTTTTTTCAACAATTGTTAAACAAAGACTTATATGATTCTATATTTAGAGACGTAGACATCCATGTGACTCATGAAGTTATTGACTTTGCATTATTTTTCATTTTTTCTTTTTTCATGGATTGAAGGTTGTAACAATAGGCGTTTTTGTATACAAAGTTAGTGTCATTGGTTTAGGCCGGTTAAAAGTCTATACCCATATTCTAAGGTAAAAAAAAAAAAAAAGTGTAAATTGATATTTTAGCTAACCTCTAACAATTGAAAACTTGTATCAATAAATAGGCATGCCTTTAGGAATTGAGAGCATATATTATTATGAATAAAAAGTCACCGATAACTTTATCTATATAAATAAGAAGTTACCGATAATTTCGATTTATAAATTTAAAAAGTCACCAACAATTTCATCCATGTAAGTGAAAAGCTACTAATAACTTCGGTTTCAAAAGTAGGAAACCGTCAATAACTTCGTCTATATAAGTGGAAGGCCACTTATAACTTCGACTTCAAAAGTAAGGTGTCTGCTACTTCATCCACATAAGTGAGAAGCCACCGATAACTTTAGTTTTAAAAGTAGAAAGACACCGATGACTTTATCCACAAGAGTGGGGAGGTACTAATAACTTCGATTGCAAAAGTAGGAACTCAATGATAATTTTATTTACACAAGTGGAAACTCACCAATAACTTCAATTTTAAAAGTAGGAAGCCACTATCAACTTCATCCACACAAATAGAAAGCCATTGATAACTTTAGTTTCACACAATTAGGAAGTAATTTAAATATTTGGAAGTCACTAGCAGTTTCATCCACATTTTCACCACCTACAATTTCAATTTCACAAAATTATGAAGCTACGGATAATTTTGTCCACACAAGTAGAAAGCTTGTAATAATTTTAGTTTCACACAAACGAAGTAATTCAAACATTTGAAAGCCACCAGCGAGCTTGTTCCACATAAGTGGGAAAGTCACTATCAATTTTGAATGGCATCATTTAAGAAGTCTCTAAGCAACTTCTTCCACACAAGTGAGAAGTCATCATCGACTTCAAATCGGATCATTGTCACGACCCTCGAAATGGGCCATGACTGGTATAAGAATCAAAGAAATTATGAGGCCCATCTTGACTTAAGTAAGCCTTAAATATCTAAACAATAATTCTTAAACTTGTATCATATCAAATATCATTTCCAATTTAACATCTATTTTCACCATTCTAACCAATCAATATCACAATGCTTAAACATATCCATAATCAAATTCTAATATAACTTCCACAAGTATAACTTAAGAGCTTCTAATCGATACAACAAAACCAAATCTTAAGTCCTAGGGATTACAAGTAGATGAGCTATACGATCAATGTGTTGTTTTCAAGACAAGCGAGTTTAGTAGAAGTAAAAAGGCATTCTCACAACCTTGTAAAATTGAAAAAGTGAAGTGTGAGCAAATCAACACTTCAATGAGTAAATACTATATAACATAATAAAAAAGGAAAACAAACTAAGGATGATAATTGAAAACTATACTCAAGATGCAATGGTTATTTCTTCAAATTCATTTCATAGTATAAATATCAAATCTCATATCGTATCTTAAATGGTTCAAAACTAAATCGCATGAAATAAATAAATATATATATATATATATGTCATACAATTAAATTAAACCAAATGTCTAAATTACACTTGGGTTGAAAAAAACATAGCGTATCATTGGATGCGAACACCCAAACACTATATCCCCTAGCTAGGTTTTCATATATTGGGCGACACACGAGCTAGCACTACACCTCTTCTACTAGTTGAAGCATTATGTACCGATGAGCTCACGGGCTACGCCCTATAGCTAGGTACTCCAAGGTAACCAATCAAATTAAAAACAACATAAACTTATACATATTTCAAAATATTCAAATCCAATATATCAAATACAATTTATGCTTAAAATCATATTTGATAATGTAATTGAATATCAAATAAACAACTAAAAAAATCATAAGAATAAATCAAAACAAAAATCTAAAGTAAATTCTTATTCAAATCCATGAGTAAAAAATTTATTCAAACATATCTTCAAATCCTTTTTTAAATCATATTAAATCATTTTAGATATGAAATTATTCCAAATACTCATAGGGTCTATTTTTTCCTAAGTTTTGATGACTATGACTATATCATATCCGAATCAATGATGCATGAGAGATATCTCAAAGGCATTTAAAAGTATAATATGTTATATATTATTCACTTATAGTACAATCAAAGAGGATTGAATAGAATTAATATTATTAAGATAGAGTCGTCCGCTCTAAAGAATCTAACAATACAATTTGATAGAATAATAACCAATATCACATATTGAAGAATAATTCAAAAAAAATGAAACAAATGAATTATTCTAGAAATCGGGATACAATATTATTTTTAAGAATGAAATTGATCAAAAGATTCTACCCAATCACTTTAACTAAACTCTTACTCTCTCACTCGATTCTAAACAATTACCTAACTATATTCCTTTATTAGTTCTCAATCAATCCTTGCATGTATCATCATTTATCAAACTCAATTGAAATCCTAACCTTAACCTACGTTGATCTTCAATTAATGACTACTTAATTTAAGACAATTCCAAAATGACCAATAAACATCATTTCAAACATCACTTACGATAAACACTTAACCACCAAATTCCCAAATTCAATTTAAACTTTAAACAATCAATTCTCAATTAATCATCAATTCCATTCTAATTTACTCAATTCTCATTTCATTCTTCTTTGATTGTATTTATACATTTTAATTCTTTATTTTTCATAAATTCCTTTTAATCCAAAACCTAATTTTAAAATTTTCACTATTCATTATCTTCAACCTCTCAAATCGATTAAATTCACCCCATTCAACTTCATAAATCACTAACCTATAACAATTAAACATCATTTAATTTATTAGAATCACTTAATCAACTTTATGCTAAATGGGTCTTAAAACACTAACACTAATCTAACTAAATTCTTCATTCTAACAACCAACCCAATACAAATCAACTTCAAATTCATCAATAAGCACATATAAACATCTCAATTTAAAGAGCAATTGATAAGAATTCTTACCTTTAACAATTGGCTCTCCAATCTCAATTTAAATTCTAAACTCTCCAAACCTTTTGAGCTTTAATCTAGCTAAACTCGACTTTAATCAACTTGTTTATGGTTTTTCTTCTAAGTTAACAAGGTTTTAGCTTAGAAATTAGAGGGAATTGGGAGGAAATTAGGGAGAGTTGAGAAGGAGAGAGAAAAAAGAAAGGAGAAAATGAACGATAGCGAGCTCTCATTTTTTTCCTTTATATACTCGCCTAAATTTTTTTTAATTACTAACTTAAATATCATTTTAGGATGGGTTATTACATACTCCCTCCTTAAGAAAATTCATCCACAATTTTAATTCTAACCATACCTTAGTAAGTGAACAAGTGAGGATATTTCTTCTTCTTTTCTTCCTCAACCTCCCAAGTCACCTCATTGATCGAATAGTTTCTCCAAATGACCTTAATGGATACAATCTCCTAATTACATAATTTTTTAACTTGACGAGTTTATCATTACCATCAATTGCTCTTCATATGATAAGTTAGGATTTAAATATATCAATTACAATTCTAAGATATAAGATGGGTTCGGTACATACTTTCTTGGCATAGAAATATAAAACACAAGATGTATACTCGAAAACTTTGGTGGCAATGCTAACTCATAAGCTACTCGCTCCAATTTTACCAATGATCTCAAACAATCCAATATACGTCATGCTCAATTTTCTCTTCTTGCCAAATCAC